GGCACTCTAGTACTGATCAGCCATGTGTTGCAATGCAAACTACGGTACAGGAAAACAAAATATAACCCCGGTACTCTGGAGTCACGTATTTAATTTTCCAACCCCTGCTTGAGATAGAGCTATGTTGCCGTAAATCACGGGGAACACGTAACATCGCAAAAAGTGGTCATGTAAAAAGTCTATTTTGAAGATACACTTGACATATCTATGCTTCGTATAAAATATTTACGCGTTTAGGTTTTCTAGATAGGTTATACCTTCGCCGTGATTACGATAATTTGCTGCAGGGATGGACTATACGAGCGCTGCGCGATTTGCTCTGGAAACCTTTGTAGTAGTGTTTTGTTTTCCGTAGTCAAGACGGTTTCCAATCTCCGATGATTTATTGCCAAATTCTCGCAGGCGAATTGTTGACCTAGAAACAAGTTCTGAATACGCCTAAGGTGTCTACCGTGAACTACGTGCTTCTAGCTTTCCGACTGAGTGTCTTTCATTCGCGAAAACAACTTTTGCTCAAACGCCAGTCTGTTGGAATAGGCTTGTGAGGTCCGTTTTAGTATCGGAGGTTTAGGTGAACCAGTTTGCTTCGCAAATAAAAATCAGAAACCCACTTTGGATATTAAATTACGCTGCGCAATTGCTCAATGCACCAACTTTGATCGAGAAAACGACCAGCCAGTATGGTAAAAGGTGTAGAGTAGATACAGTACCAGACAGCAGTGACGACAAACCGGCGACAGCGCCGTTGCTTTGTAACTTGCAACAAGTACCTCGACAATTACATGCACATGTACTGTGATACGTGTATTAATAGACTGCGAGGTCAAGCTACGTCGACAGCTGCACTGCATAATCGGCCACGTCAACAGGCGGCACTGCATAATCAACCGCGTCAACAGCGGCACCGCATAAGCAAGTTGAGGACGCTACCACAGGGCATACCCTCCAAGGTGAAGGACTAGAACAGTAAAACTTCAGGCTATTTAACTTAAAATAAGTTCTATTACAATGGAACTTACTACGCAATGCAGTGCTCAATACGTCATAACTGTGTAGGAGCACAGATAGACACGGAAGCTCGGAAATAATACTGGAGATACCAGTCATATCGAAATTCGTCATGGCCCAAAGGTTGAAACGGTCTCATTGAGACGAAGGTGGCAGTAGACCCTCGTTCAGCTCATTGTAAGTGTACTCGTTGGACTTTAGGAGGTTCCGCTGTTGGTCTTCCCTTTTGAGATGAGGTTATTGATGATCACGCCAAAAAAGATGCTTCTTCAATGGAAGAAGCGAAGGATGCATCGGGTGTGCGAGACTGAAGAAGTTTGCGGAATTGACTGGTGATGCGCGTCAACCAAACTCGTGGAGGGAGATCGAACTCAGCCAAGAGCAACCTGAACACTACAGATGTGTGCGAGCTTCAGTAAAGACATTAATGATGTTTCATTTTCTTGGCTGGGTCGTTTATCCGTGTTTATTTTCCAATGTATAAGATGAGTTTCTTTACC